TGGAGCCGGTGGAGTGGTACTAAGGGGGGGTGAAGGGGGAGTGGAGCTAGGGGTGTAGTTGTGGGTGTATGAGAGGGGCGTTGGGCAGCTGGGGGAGGTTGAATGGAGGCAGCAGTCTTGTCGTCAGCAGCAGCAGCAGTCCGGAGGCTACAATCTCCGGTAGTCGCTAGTCGCCCGTGGGTCCGTTGCTCGTCTGCCGCTACTTTAGCCGCGGGGCCAGTTACTCCAGTAGTCCGGAGCGCTGTTCCGGTAGCCACTGAGCCAGCAGCTTGTCTGTGTGTCTGCAGCGTCAGCAGTCGCCTCCCATCTTCTCTCCCCCATAGTCCCTCCTCCTCCACACATGCCCTCTGCGATAGCCTCTAGCTTTGCTCATAATTGTGAACTTAAACTATTGCTTCTTGAACTTGTGCTCAGAATGTGTGGTGACATTGTGATCCACCTTGAGCTTGTACTGCTTTGCTTGCTCTGCTGATTACACCCCACTTCGGCTATGGGGGTGTGTCAGAATATTATGCTCTAGCCTGTAGTGGGGTGCTCTATAGCAAGTACAACCCTTCTAGGGTTTGCTATTTGTATCCTCATTCTTGCTAGTGCAACCCTCTTCTTTGTTCTAAATTTTCACAAAAATTTGACTCAAAGAAGTCGAGCCAACGAATCTATCGTAGGTTGAGGTGTGGCTGTGCGCGGAGGTACTGTAGTGATTAATGGTCTGTCCTTACTGTCACGTCTACGCCGGTTAAGTAACAGCGCCGCACTTTGAACGCGTACACGATCGCAAGCGTTTCGCGGTCGTGTATCGGGTAATTTTTCTCGGGCGGATGAAGTTTTCGTCACTCGTATGCGATGGGCTGTAGGCCGTTGCCGAAGTCCTGTAGCACTACGGCTCTGATGGCGGTGTCGCTGGCATCACTAACTACTTCGAATGGGCGGTGTGGGTCAGCGATGCGCAGGACGGGCGGTGAACAGAAAACATTTTTCAGGGCAGAGAAGGCAGCAAGCGACCCCCTTCTTCAGTAAATCCGTCAGCGGGGCGGTTAACCATGCCATATTGGGGACCAACCAATGCACATAATTAACGAACCCTAAAAAGCTCTGCAGCTCCGTGATGTTCGTCGGGGGATGCCACGCTTTTACTGTATCCAGCTTCTTTGGGTCGATTTCTACTCCAGCCTCCGAAATAACGTGCCCTAAAAATTCTAACCTATCCTGGAAGAACTCGCACTTGGAGCCCTTGGTCAGTAATCTGTGCTCGTCTAAAACCTTGAATACTGCTTCCACATCTGCTAAGTGCTGCTGCTTCTCCCAAATGTAAACTGGGATGTTGTCGAGGTAAATTATCACACATTTATCTAAGAGCGGCCTAAACGTTTTGTTCATGGTCATCTGAAAAGTCGTCGGTGCGTTGGTCAGCCCGAATAGCATCACAGTGTACTCAAACGACCCGTACCTAGTCCTGAAAGCTGTTTTGGCGCAGTCTGATGGCTCGACCCTAATCTGATGGTAACCTACTCGTAAATCTATTTTCGAGAAAAACCGTGCTGTTCGCAGTTGGTTGATTAGTTCGTCGGCGCAGGGAATGGGGTACCGCAACTTGACTGTTACCCTGTTCAGTCCTCTGTAGTCGATACACATGCGAAAAACCCCGTCTTTTTTTGGTGTGAACAGTATCGGTGCGGCGAACGGTGACAAGCTCGGTCGGATGAATTTTTTCTCTAACAAGTGCTAGAATTGTGGAAAGAATGGAAGGAGGCGTTTCACTAGCAAGCAGTTGAGTACATATAGCAAACCCTAAATTGGGTTGTACTCACTATTGAGTACCCCACTGCAGGCTAGACAAACATAACATTCTGACACACCCCCATAGCCAAAGTGGGGTGTAATCAGCACAACAAGCTCAGGGTGGATCACAATGTCACCACACAATCTGAGCACAAGTACAATAAGCAACAGTTTAAAGTTCACAAATGTAAGCAAAGCTAGAGGCTATCACCGAGGGCAAGTGTGGAGGAGGAGGGACTCTGAGAGGAGAGGAGGTAGTGGGCAGCAGCTGAAGCTGCTGACACACGGCGCAACTGGAGCAACTGGCACACGGGCAACTGGAGCAACTTGCACACTGGCAACTAGAGCAACTGGCACACGGGCTACTGGAGTAACTGGCTCCGCGGCTAGCTCTGAGCGGCAGGAGCAACGGACTCACGAGCGACTAGAGCAACTAGCTCACGGGCGACTGGCGCAACGGGCTCACGGGCGACTGGCGCAACGGTCTCACAGGCGACTGGATCTGCGGGCTTCACGGCGGCCACCCCCCTTCAACCTTCCCAAACTATCCCACCCCCCTTTCACACACCCCCTGCTGCACCCTAGGTTCACTCACACCCCACCCCCTAGCACCACTCCGTTGACTCCCACACACCCACCCCCCTCAGCGGCAGCTGCAGCAGTGGGAGACAGAGGAGGAGGAGGAGCAGGGGAGACCACACACCCGCCACCCCCTACTCGCCACCCCCAAACCCTAACACAGGGCAGGGCGGGATGGCGGGTAGGGAGGTTACGGGAGGGGGGGCGACGCGCGGCCTCCCAAGGCGCCAAAACAGGCGGTAGAAGGGGCGACGCTTGCCCCCCCCCCCCCAGGTCGCCCCTCCCGTCGCCTGTCGAGGCGACCTGAGGGGGCCGCGCGCGGCCTCCCAGGGAGCCGCAACGGGAAAAGAGGGGGGGGCGGTGCACGGGTCCCCGGTGCCCCGCGACAGGCGACGGAGCATGGCCGGGGCGGGGCCGGGGCAGGGTCGGGGCAGGGCCGGGGCAGGGTCAGGGCAGGGCCTCGACAGGGCCGCGAGAGGGCAGCGGCGGGCGACGGGGCAGGGCCGCGACGGGGGGCCGCGACGGAGGGCCGCGATGGAGGGCCGCGACGGGGGGGGGGGGGGGGGGGGGGGGGGGGGCGCGACAGGGCGACGGGGCAGGGCCGGGCGACGGGGCAGGGCCGGGGCGAGGCCATGACGGGGCCGCGACAGGGCCGCGATGGGGTCGCGAAGGGGCCACAAAGGGGCCACGAAGGGGCCACAAAGGGCCGCGACGGGCAGCAGGGCAGAGCGCGAAACGCGCTAAGGGCAGGGGAGAAAAAAAAGTTTAGCAAAGTGGTGGGCCCTGGGAAGGAACAGTCCCAGGAGGGAACTAGCTCTATACCATGTGAGAATTGAGGAATGAATGGAAGGAGGAGTTTCACTAGCAAGCAGTTGAGTACATATAGCAAACCCTAAATTGGGTTGTACTCACTATTGAGTACCCCACTGCAGGCTAGACAAACATAACATTCTGACAACAAGTAATCTAAATGCTTCCTCAGTTCATCGAGCTCTGGCTCTGTCAGTCGGAATTGTTGCTGTACAGTTGGTTGTGCCCCCGGTTCTAATTCTATGCGGTGGTCATGTGCCCGCTGAGGTGGCAGTCCTTCTAGTAAGTCGTCCGGAAAATTCTGGGGTATCGTTTCAACAGTTCTTGTAGTTCGGGCGGTACTGATGCAAACAGTTTCTGAAAATCGCTCGGGTGCTCTGCTCCTTCTACTACGGCAATGTCCACTGCGTACACATCAGCTCCAGCGGCGACTGCCCGTTTCATCGAGATGGCGTTGACGTGGACCGTTGAAGACTCAAGCGACTGCCAGCGAGGTAGTTCGATCCAATTACCACTACTTCGCACTGTGCAGCTTCCTGTCGTCCAGTCAATTCTCGGGTTGTATTGTCGCAGCCAATCATGTCCCAGTAAAATGTCGTGCCCATCCAATGTCGTCGCGAGCATTTCCTGTGTAAACCCGAAGTTTCCCCCGCAACAAACTTTTACTCTTTCCACCTTCTCCCGTATGGCCAGCGGCGTGCCGTCAACTAAGCGTGCGTCTATCTCAGGTAAGCAATGGCTAAGTGACAGTTGCAGTTTCCGTGCGGTTGCGGTATTAACTAAACTATGACTTGCTCCTCTGTCGATAAACATCTTCACTGCTGCTCCCTGTATTTTCCCGTGGATCAGTACTCGGCAATCCGTCGCTGTACCCTCCTTACTCGTCCGAGTCCGATCGATAGCATGAATCGGTACTGTGACTCGGTGAGGGTCGGTGGGGTTGGGTGAGCAGGCAGTCTCGTCAGTAGTTGGCCCGATTCCTACTAACTGCTGGCGTTTCCCTGCCTTGGAGACTCCCTTCCCTGCTCTTCTCCGCAGCGCCTTAGCTTCTCTGGGCATTCACTCTTGCGATGGCCCGGCCTATTGCGAGCAAAGCAGCACCCCTTAAACGGTGCGGCAGCTGCGTTCGTCGCAACGGCGTGTACCGTGGCGTGCTCGGTCAGTCCCCGAGGACGATGTTTGTAGTAGGACCCCGGTCTCGGACGGCGTAAAATGTCGATTTTCTCGGCGAGCGCGAGAATCTCGTTGAAGTTCGAGAGCCCGCGTAGCATAATTTCATGCGAGATGTCCGGCTTCAGCCCTTAGACATAACGGTCCACCCACTCCGCTTCGTGCATGTAGCCGACCTGCTCGCATAATGCGAGAAAACCACTCGTATAGTCTTGAACCGACCCGAGCTGCCGCCAAGTGTGCAATCTCTGACGCGCCGAAATAGAAGCCGCGATCGGCTCGAAGCGCGCTCGAAGCCCTGCGCACCACGCATCCCACGTGCTGTATTGGGCGGTCTCGCAGAATGAACTCCAGGTGACAACTGGACCCGTGGGCCCTTCCTCTTGCGACGGTGGCTCGTAGGCGCGTGGCGACGTCACGATGACTCGCCACCCGTCCATGGTGGGGCCCCTTAGCAGCGAAACGGCATACCGAATCTTCGCTGCGTCCGACTCGACGTAATTCGCGTCGAAGGAGACGTTCATCGTGAAGACCCACGATTGAATTGTAGGACCTCCACGCTCGAACATCACGAGGGTGCGCAAGAAGTGCACTGCGGCTTTGTCGGCGTCGCTCCCGTTGACGGCACGCGTCTCTGCCTGCAAGTCGGAAAGTGGCGTGGGTTAGTAGGGAGTTGGGCAGCCAACTAGGCCACAACGACTGAAGAACATTGTCGGCGTCGCGTGACATACATCGCGCAGCATAGCATCCACGCCGGGGAAGATGTGCTCGGCGAGGAGGTCCAGGAGTTTGTCGGAGGGCTCGACCCTGCTGCGCCCCAAGAAGTAGTACTGCTTGAGTCCCGAGTAGCTGGCCTTCCGCATCACCACCCCAGCGGGAATGGTCGTGATGTGCGCACGCGTCATCTTGTCGAGAGCCCAGTGTCCCAGCTCGGCGATCTCGGCGCGCGACGTCCCTCCGATGGCTAGCTCCTGCGCACCTCCGGCGCGGGTGGCGTGCACGTTCCTTTTGCAGAACACCTTGTTGGTCGTCCACATCTGCCGAGTCCAACGTTGGTGGGTGGCGGCGGGGAGCTCCTCCTGCTCCTTGTCGTTTTTGGTGAAGAAGAGATGCTTCTTGTACCAGCGTTCGCGTTCAGTGGTGTCAAGCGGCGGAAGGAAGTCGGTGCCGAAGAACTGACCGATCTGGTCGAGGATGAAGTGCAGCCACAGGCCGGTCTCGCCGACGGCGCACAGCTCCGCTTCCAGGTGTCGCGCCGCGTAGCTCTGCTGAAGACGGGCATCCTTGGAAGTCTTCGAGTTACGTGCGGCGATCACCATGATGACCGGCTGGCTATCCGGGTTCACCTCCGAGGTGCTCGCCAGGTGCTACAAGAAGACGTTGGGGAGCGTGATCTCGCGGATGCTGGCGCCGAGCAGGAGAGAGTGGTGGGAGAGTAGTGTGAGTACCTTGACGAGCAGGAATCGCCACAGCGTCTGCGACGGAGTGGTTGCCCGCGGGTTCCACGCCGTCGCCGCCCATGTTGGCAGCACCCTCATCATGATTTGGCGGAACTGCTCGGCGGTGTAGGTATCGCCGATGGTGCCGCGTCGACGGTTGGCGCAGTTCCTGAACGCAAATCGGTGGGCAAAATCTGTTAGACTGCGTCGACTTCACAGTGCACAGTGATTAAGAATAAGGTTGTCAACCAACTTACTTGAACCTCTCGTTCTTGTGGCGGACGTTGAACCGCACCTCCGATCTGACCACCGAGATCTCCCTCATGATGCCCAGCTCCTTCTCTCGGTACAGCGTCGCCTCCACCCTCGCCGCCATGTGGCATGCCTTTATGCGCCCGAGGATCGTGTGCGCAGTTGTCGACCTCACAGGCCCGGTTCGCGTGGCATTGTTCTCCTCCCCGGGCTGGTCAACAATGAGGTTACACTCACGGCTCATTTGCTTCACGTAGGCGCGCAGCCGGGTTTCGGTGACCCTAGGGCCGTGCAGCCAAATGTACTCTCGGCGGACCACTTTCTCGTTGCACCAATCCTTTTTCTTGTTGTCGCGGATGTAGTGGCCAATCTCGTCGATGTGCCTAAGTCGTTGCTCATGGGGTAGCTTGTCGCGTATCTGCTTCAGCATCTTCGCCGCCCACTTCTTGTAGTGGTAGATGAACGCGGTGTACAGCCTGAGCGTGCTATCCTTCTCCAAGCATTGTAGGTGTCGTAGGGCGTCCATGACGAGCACGTCGATGCTGGAGTACACCATGTCGTCCACTACAAAGTCTGTCGCCTTCCAGTCTTCGCGCAGCACCGCCATGTTCTGATTGTCCTCCTTCTCGTCCTTTTCGAGCATGTCATGTATATATTCAAATTCCCGCCTAAGGCGTTCTTCCAAGGTGCGCGGATTCGTGCTACGCGGAGGACGGTCGTCGACTTCGTCGTCGCTCTCTTCCTCGTCCTCGTTGTCGTCATCATCTTGGTTTTCCGAGCCGGCCGGCACCGACGAAGGTCCAGGCTGCCCATCTGACGCCGGCGTCGACTTCTTCGTAAACTCCCCTATTGGCGGTTTCGGTATGTCCTTGGTGTACTCCCCTTCGGGAATCAGAGTCAGTTTGTCAAGATCATAAAGCAACTTCAGCGTCTCTTCGGGGGCAGAGGACGGACTGTGGTCGGTTGGGGTACCAACGTCGGGCATGTCGACGTCGTCCATGACCGCTCGTATGCTCTACCGCCGGCCGTGGAAGAGGGAAAGATTGGTAAACAAGAGACGGTAATGATTCACGACTGCGGTGTACGCCCTAATCGTCCTGCGGCGGTCTTCCTCGAATTCCCTCTCAAATGCTTCTAGCTCAGCGTCGACCTCGAGTCGTTTCAGTTGCGCTTTGATGTCGGCGACTACCGAATCGGCGGGGGGTGGGATAAGTTGCGGCTGTTGGGCACTAGGCCTTCCTCTCGCCATGCGTCGCCGACTCGGTAAGGTTGGGAGATGCTATCGTCGCCCTGATCTATCGTCGCCGACTTTCCTAGATGACAACCTAGAACCTACTAAGGCGAAGTCGACGATGGTCGACCCCAACACCGACCTAAGTCAGTCTATTCCAGGTCGACGCCTGTGTGCCGCCGCTCGGTCGACTCGGTCGTCGAGTAACCTACACCCGCAGAGATAGCGAGGGTCCTGTGAAGAAAACGAAGTGCCAGATGGCGCACAGGAGCATGAGAGAAACACGAAGCTGAACCGGCAGAATGAGAGCGTTGTGCGTGTGAAGAATGAGAACGTGAATGAATGAACTATGAATGAAGTGAGTACATATACGAAACCCTAATTGTGTTGTACCCCCTATGGGATACCCCACTATAGCCTACACAACAGCATAAGCTATAATGTTCTGACACACCCCCATAGGCAAAGTGGGGGAGAACGAGGGGTCACAAGACCAGTCAAGCAAAGCAAAGCAAAGCTCAGGGTGGATCACAAAGTCACCACACAGTCCGAGCACAAGGTCAAGGCCACAAGGCCAGTTCACATGCACGACTAGACATATATATATATATATATATATATATAAGACTAAACAAGCAAGAGCAGGTATATATATATGGAAGAGTACAAGCAAGGTCAAGAGGTGAGCAAGTGAGGTAGGACAGGTACAAGTCCCAGCTGAGTGCAGAAGCGCTGATGGTAACAAGGCGGAAGTGCCTTGGTGAACACATCAGCAGTGTTGGCCTCAAAGGCCACGTACGCAAGTCGCAACTGACCACGCTGCTGCAGCTCACGAGCAAGGAAGTAACGGAGAGCAATGTGCTTCGTTCTGTGCTCCAAGCGCTGCTCTCGACACAAGGCCAGCATGGCCTTGTTGTCTACGTACAGCACTGGAGGAGAACGAGGCTGCTCTCCAAGGTCAGTCAGCAGGTAGGTGAGCCAGCAAAGCTCCTGTGCAGCCATGGCCCCGACGTAGATCTCAGCCTCACAACTGGAGCCGAGAACAGAAGACGAGCGAGTAGCCCGCCAAAAGACAGAGCCAGAACCAAGACTGAAGGTGTAACCCTGCGACGACCGCTGCGTAGCCTGGTCGTCAGCCCAAGAAGCGTCCGCGTGACCAGTGAGGACCACTGGACTCCGCCCTCCAAGCACTAGCCCCATGCCCGACGTACTGCACAAGTAGCGCAACACCCTCTTCGCTGCAGCCATGTGCTCTGGTCGGTGTCTCCCAGGAGCAACATAGCGTGCAAGAATGCTAAGAGGGTATGCAAGGTCAGGTCGTGTGCAGGTCATCAGGTACATGAGGCAGCCAACAAGCTCTGGGTACGGGCCACTCGACTCTACGGACTCATCCGAAGGCAGAGCTGAGAGCGAGTGGCGAGTAGCCAGAGGAGTGGCCTGAGGCGAGGAGTACGTGAAGCCGAAGCGCTAAAGGACCTGCTGCACCATGTGTGACTGAGTCAAGGTAATGGTGCGGCGTGCTCTGTCCCGGGTGATCTGCAAGCCAAGGTAGCTGCGCAGTTCACCCAGGTCTGTGCACGTGTGTCTCTTCTGCAGCTCGGACTTCACGTAGGCGAGTTCAGCAGTGTCAGCTGTGGCAAAGACCAAGTCGTCGACGTACACGAGGATGTAGAACGGCGGCAGAGAGGTGTCGGTGCGCAGAAACAACGACGGGTCAGCAGTAGAGGGAGCAAACCCAAGAGCCGCAAGCGTAGTCCTCAGTGTCTCGTGCCACTCACGCGGTGCCTAGCGGAGACCGTAGACTGGCCGTCGGAGGCTCCACTGGGTGCCAGGAGGGAAAGTCCCAGTGAAGCCAGGCGGACGGCGCAGCCAGATCTCCTCGTGCAGGCTACCCTGCAAGAAAGCAGTGCTGAAGTGAAAAGAGTGAAGCTCGTAGTCGCGCTGAGCGGCTATGTGTAGCAGCACCCGAAGAGTGGTCATCTTCGGGGTGGGAGAGAAGGTCTGAAAGTAGTCAACTCCCTGCCGCTGACTGAAGCCACGAGCGACGTACCGCGCCTTGAAGACAGGTGGAGAGCCCGGCGGCCGCTTCACCCTGATGATCCACATGCCACTGACGATGTTCGCCCCAGGAGGGGGAACTGCGTCAACGTAGGTGCCTGTGGACTTCTAGGAAGCCATCTCTGCATCCATAGCTGCCTGCCACTGAGAGGAGTAGGGACCCTCTACGGCCTCCGCGTAAGAACGCGGAGTCGGGACGTCTAGTGCATCCGGGTCTCCCTCAGGGGCAAGCAGTACAGACGCGAGATGAGGTGAAGCAGCAGCCAGACACTGGAACTCCTCCTGCCTGTCCTCAAGGACGTCCGTGCCAAGAGCACACTCACCCCCGACGGACGGAGGACAGACAGACGCAGACTCAGCAACAAGACTAGCAGCGTAGTCTAGAGGACAGCGAGCAGCAAAGTCGATGAGCTCAGCGACAAGAGGAGACGCAGCAGTGGACTCAAAAGAGGGGTCAGTGACAACAGTAGCAAGAAGACGCGTGACAGTAGGACTGGCAGCACGAAGAGAGTCCGACTCCGGGTCAGAAAACGCAGGAAGAGAGGACTCAGGAGGAGAAGGCAAAGGGGCACGCAGAGGAGCAGTGGACGGACGCAGAGACATCCGGTGCGTGCCAGGGACAGGAGGAGGACGCTCACGCGAACCGCGACCACTAGCGCGAGCAGCAAGAACAGGCGACGCGGGACGAGACGCAGGCTCACGACGCTCAGCGAGACCTCCAGTAGGACCAGTGTAAGGAGAGGGAGCAGGCAGTGGGGAGGCCGGCTCTAACAGTGACTGCGACTAGACAGACGGCGGACACTCTACAGAAGGAGGAACACCAAGAACCTGCTGCAGGAGCGGAACGAAGAATGGTCGAGGCCGCACGGGGACCCCAGGCACAGCAGGGACAGTACCAGCACCCTCAGCGGCAGCACAAGCGCCAACAGCACCTCCAGCGGCAGGACCTCCAGTCGCACCAGCAGCAGGACCACCGCCAGGACAGACAGCAGTAGTCTCAGCGCCAACACCCTCAGTAGCTCCAGCTCCAGTAGGACCCGAAGGCCCAGCAGCTCCAGGACCGGCGGCACCAGCACCCTCAGCAGCCGAAGAAGCTCCAGCTCCAGCAGTACGCCTCCAGCGACGAGCAAACCACTCGCGCAGCTCCTGTGGAGAGAGGGGCTCCCGCGAAGACGGAGCACCCGGAGGACCTCCAGACGCCACAAAGGGAGGTCCAGTGACTGCAGGCTCCGCACCTCCAGGCTCAGCAGCTCCAGACGCAGCACCTCCAGGCCCAACACCCTCTGGCGCAGCACCCCCAGACTCAGCAACCCCAGGCTCGTCACCCCCAAGCTCAGCACCCACGCGCACAGCACCCCCAGGCTCAGCACTCCCAGGCTCGTCATCCCCAGGCTCAGCACCCACGTGCACAGCACCCCCAGAGTCAGCACCCCCAGGCTCAGCACCCGCAGCAGTACCAGAGTCACCAGCAACCTCGACCTGCTCGACTGCGTCTACCTGGGACACACCTGAAGGGGCAGGAACCTGAGGGGGGAGGGGGTCTACCGGGGGGGGACCTGGCACAAGGAAGTCCGGTGGCGGGGGGAGGGAAGGAGTGCGGTAGGGGAAGAGGCGGTAGAAGGGGACTGACTCGTCGAACGTGACGTCCTGGGAGGACAGAACACGACGAGAGGAGGGGTGGTAGAACTGCCACCCTGGAGCGTCAGGGGGGAAGCCAAGGAAGACACAGGGAGCAGCACGAGGAGACAGCTTGTCCGCAGACAAGTCGCGGACAAACGCCCGAGATCCCCAGACACGGAACGCAGACGCATCGCCGACCTTCCCAGTCCACAGGAGGGCCGGGGAGGTACGGACCTTCCCCGGCCGGGAAACCCCGGGGTGAAGGTTGATCTGATGCGCCGCGTACCGAACCGCAAACGGCCACAGAAAATGGGGGGCAGCCGCATGCATCATGGACGTACGTGCGACGTCCATGACCATGCCAATGCGGCGCTCAGCAATCCCATTTTGTTGTGGAGATTCCGGAAGCGTAAAGGTCTGGCGGATGCCCTGTGCACGACAGTAGGCTCGCAGGAGGCCAGAGGAGAACTCTCCGCCTCGGTCAGAGTGCAGACGCAGAACAGGAAAGTCCGAGCCGAAGCTCCTCCTGAGCTGGAGACGAGCTGCGCGGATCCAGTCGATCAACGCCTCAGTGACATCACCCTTGCTGCGCAAGGGGAAGACTGTGGTGAAACGCGAGTAGTCGTCAACCACCAGCAGAAAGTAGCGCTCGTGACCCTGTCCACGGACACGGGCCGGGCCCCACACGTCCATGTGAA